CTACATTGTCATATGCTCCGGCGCAGTCGTCATATTAATGTGTACAACATGTGCAGGCACGCAACGATAATAATGCTAGTAATATGTAATGAGAATATTGATATCAATGATCTAAATGTAGTATTAATAAACAGGGGTACTATTTAATGAATACTAATGTTACTGGTTACTTGCAGGTACCTGACCCCAAAAGTATGTAAAACAATTGCCTGTATGGCTGTTATTATGGGTTTAGGGTAATTATTTTACATACTCTTGGGGTTTAGGTAGCGCTTAGCAAGTCGAAGCTCGGTTCGAAAGTCTGGCGTGCACGCTTTCCAGAAATGAGGGGTCTTTTTTTTGGTGGTCAGGGCTATGGCATGGTAGTTGCCTTAAACACAGGAATCCCAGTATAGACCCCCAAATACTACAATCCTTGTTACAGGTACCCCAAGAACTTACCTGCAATTCCCGCGACCCGCCATACATTTGGGGTAGATAAGGCTGCCATTGGTTTGTGCCGGCAATCCGCAAAGAGCCAGGTGAGTTTTGTTACAATGCCTTAGGCCCTAAACCCTAAACCCTCAACGAAAAGATTCAGCTCTGCCGCAGGTCGTTGTCATCCCAAACCCATTCAAACGCAAACTTGATCTTGCCAGCACAAGACTGGGCACTGTAGTGTTCCAAGAGTCTGCAAGAAGTGCACTCTGTGGTCGGTGGGCACATAGCCGATCTTAGAGAAAAAATGAACTTCAGTTGATGAAGTGTGTTACACATCTCAGAACCCTATAACCCCATGAGATGTCTATATAGCTCCTTTTTCGGCCCATAACCCATTATCAATACCCAATCCCTGTGTATCCCTACCCCAACTCCCTCTCCTAGCAAACTTGACTGGGTTGCTGTTAAGGAACTTGAATCAAGTTTCTATAATGAGCAAACCCCATCCTTTGCGATTTACCGATCTACCCTTAATATGGTGACGTAATAAAGTAATCCAAATTCCTTGACAGCAGCCAGTTGAAGCATTGGAGTTGAAAAGCAGGTTGACCGCATGCGCGAAGAACTCGAGTCGCTGCGGTCGCCAGGGTCTCGAGTTGTTGCCCCATGGTCTGCTGGGTTTCCGTCCCTACTGAAGAGGGTACCCCAAAAATGAGGGGTACATCTAAAGGGGGTTATTGGGGTGATATAGGGGTATACGGGGCTCACGGTTTGCCAAAATTCGGGGAATTTTTTTGGAGGTTCTCATAGTAAGCATTACAGTGTATAGGGGTCTATATTGGGGTCTCCCTAATTTTGGAAACTACCTGAAAGCTTAGGCTATCCACATAGCATAGCAGCCTGTAGGTAGGTGTGATTTCAGGACTTCCCCAATATAGACTCCTATATACTGTAACCCTAACTATAGTGACCCCCAAACAGATACCCCTAATTTTGGGAAACCAAAAACCCTATGTACCCTTAGATAACCCTTATAGAACCCCTACAACCCCTTTTAAAGGTACCACGAATTTTGGGATGGTGCCCGGGTAAGGTCAAACTCAGTCCTGAGCTCAAATGCAAGGTTCCGCTTGCTTTGTCTTTGTGGCAGTGAGCCAGGCATGGTTCAGCCCAACTCCATCGCTAAAAGATTATCATTGCTCTTATGATTATTGATATTATGCTAGATCCTCCATTCAAAAGGGTTGCTGTTAAGGAACTTGATTAAAATATGTACCCATTATTGTAACTTAATTTAAGTTCCTTAACAGCAACCCAGTTTTCTGATTTAATGTTTGTCATTAAGCCTTGTAAGCCTTGAATCCTGAACTGATCCGCCGAACCCGGCAGCTACATGCTCAGCCCCTTTTCGTTGTGCTAGGCCAGGCTGCTCTACAAACTTTACAAGGTAATCTCAAGAGAAAGAGTGCTTGTGAATCCAGATGCTTGCTAGTGCACCCCATATACCCCCTCAAGCCCTTACGAAAGGACCCTGAACTCTACAGCACCCCACCCACGAACTTATACAAAACCAATTCACTCCGCTTGCAACGTCTCATCGCTCTCTAAATTGAGAGCTGCAATTGTTATGTAAGAATTTTATCTAACTTGCGTTTGGGCTCTTCTTCTGCGACGACAGTCCGCAGAAAGACCTTCAGAAAAGTGCGATGCTCTTCCTTCTTAAGCCTCCAAAACGGAGAGCTTCGCAGATTATTTACACCTCAACAAGCCTCAGGAGAGCAGTATTTCATTTAGGGATACTATGGTATCCAAGATAGAGCAAGATTCTATCTTCCTTTTGGGTCCAGTATCTCACATACAGAATGTAATCCCTATATAACCCCTATATAACTCTATATATATGTATATATCATTACTCCCTATATAACAGTATATAACCCC